CTACCCCCACCCCCCCCAGGCATAACAATGAAAAGACATTTCTTATCTGGATTAATGAAGAAGACCACACCAGGGTGATCTCCATGGAGAAGGGTGGCAACATGAAACGGGTGTTCGAAAGGTTTTGCCGTGGCTTAAAGGAGGTAATGTCTCAATTAATGTATTATTCCTGTTTCCTTATTGTTGAGCTCTTGTCAGCATTACTTAATAGGGTTCATAGTGAACTGACATCTCCGGGAGCAGCAAAACGAAGTAACACCAGTCTACACAGCAACCCACAGTAATGCAGTTAAAGAAGGAAATACAGGCACTCATGCTAGCATGCTAGCTGAGTTGTGAGGAAAAATAAATAAAATGTCTTTGTAGCTTTTTGATTCAAACCTTACGCACAGGCTGGCTAATGAAATATCCTCTTCTCATTTTTATTTTATTTTTTTTTTTCTATTTTGTGCCTGTAGGCTGTGGAAATCCATAACTAACTCATTTTATTTGGATTGCTTGATTTGCTTGAATGGAGAATTTATTTGACCAGCCTCATTCTCTTCTCTGATGTGGGGAATTGGATGCTGCTGAGGTTGCGCACAGAATCTGGGGCTTAGGACCCTTTGGCTCAGTGCCACTTTTACGGAGATATGGGGTTTTGTGATTAAAATCTAAGAAATTATAGCGAGGAGTCTAGAATTTTATTCTGGTCTAGCTATTCACAAAGAAAAAAGAGCTTTCATGAGATGGTGTGTGGGTTCAGCTTTGTCTAGACAGTCCAGGTATGACTCACGTTGGCTCTGGGCCCAGGGCAGCCCCTGTACATCTCTGGCACAGAAGTTTATTTAACAAAGAAATAAGGCACTACCATGTCCCATAGGCAGTATCACAGAATAGTTTGGGTTGGAAGAGACCTTAAAGCTCATCTATTTCTATCTCTCCTACATCAGCAGAGACACCTTCCAAAGCCACAACTTCTCTGGGCAACCTGTGCCAGGGCCTCACCACCCTCACAGGGAAGATCTTCTGCCTAAGAGCTCATCTCAGTCTCTCCTCTGTCAGGTTAAAGCCATTCCCCCTTGTCCTGTCCCTACAGGCCCTTGTCCAAAGCCCCTCTCCAGGTTTCTTGTAGCCCCTTTAGGCACTGGAGCTGCTCTAAGGTCTCCCCATAAGGAGCCTTCTCTTCCCCAGGCTGAACCAGCCCAGCTCTCTCAGCCTGGCTCCAGAGCAGAGCTGCTCCAGCCCTCGCAGCATCTCTGTGGCTTCGTCTGTACCCTCTCCAACAGCTCTACATCCCTCTTATGCTGTTGCCCCAGAGCTGGATCAGGACTGCAGGGGGGGTCTCCCCAGAGCACAGCAGAGGGGGAGAATCCCCTCCCTCAACCTGCTGCTCACGCTCTGGGGGTGCAGCCCAGCACACGGGGGGTCTGGGCTGAAGCACACACTGCGGTTCATCCTCCAGTTCCCTCAGGATAATGATGCACCTCATCAGGTCCCATGGACTTGTGCACCTTCAGGTTCCTCAGATGTTCTCAAATTTGATCTTCTCCTACACTGGTGGTTCTTCATTCTTCCAGTCTCTGCCTTTGCCTTCTGTAATTCAGGCAGTGCAGCTGGAGCCTTACAAGGTGCAGTGGCTGTTACAACTAGGCATTTAGAAGTCAACTCTGCAAGAATCACAGCATCATATTGAAAATCACATGAAAATCAGATCAGCTCCTTTTGTTTGCTTTGTAGCATTTAAGTCCTTTGGGCTTGTATGTTGCAACCTAGCTCCAAAAATACCAAGGTTAGAAGCACATGGCAAAAGCCCTAATTCTTACATGAAGATATGGCTTCAGAGGCCATGGCTATTGCAAATCAACGTGATAGGGAGCTTTGTGCTAAAGTGACAGAGTCTCCAACCTAGTGGTTGTGAGAAAACAATGACAAAATCCTTGTAATATGCACTGGGGATCTTGGTACCTGATGAGTGCAAACATTTGCATCAGATCCGAAACAGGTGTACTTGGGTGTAAATTTATGCATCTCCACTGGTGTCAGTGAAGTTCACCATCAACAAAGATACATGGTGAAAAGAATACCAGTTACAAGCAGAGATCTTAAAATAAGACATTTGTATGCTGACCTTTTCTCTGTGCTTTCTTTTTTTATTGTGTCACAGGTGGAAAGATTAATTAAAGAACGGGGCTGGGAATTCATGTGGAATGAGCGTCTTGGGTATGTTCTGACCTGTCCTTCCAACCTTGGAACTGGTTTACGTGCTGGAGTTCATGTTAAGCTGCCCAAGCTAAGCAAGGTACATAAGTCATTTAAAAGGCCAGTGACATAAATCAGCTTTTCTGATTTATAAAGAATCAAATTTAAAATGACAACTTACAGCAACTGCATGTTAACATGATGTGTAAACAAGGTCCAAGGGACAACGCACCACTAATTGAGCACACTTTTATTCTGCAAATTATTGTATTTATTATGGAAGTTAATCTACTCAGCAGACAACTGCCAACATAGGCTGAAATCCAAGGTCTGAGAAAACTATCCATCTCTGCTTGTCTTTCTGGAGATGCCATTAAGCCATGGATAACAGTATTGCAATGATTTGGCACAATACACAGGGTGAAAGGCATTAAGCTCAAAACAGTTTTTCTGGTAGGACCCTCGGTTTCCAAAAATCCTGGAGAACCTGCGTCTGCAAAAGCGTGGCACTGGTGGCGTGGACACGGCTGCTGTAGCAGATGTGTACGATATCTCCAACCTGGACCGCATGGGTCGCTCAGAGGTAACCTCTTCTTCCCCCCTCCCCTCCCCCCCCGCCTTGCTTTCTGGCTCTGATACGTACTGATACGAGTCAGTTTTCCTCTGCTGACCTCAGTGGAGCCATCCATGGCAGTTTTTACTGTTAATGAATCTGGTACGATGGAAATGCTAACTCAAAAGAAAAACTTACATGGGTAATAAATATTCCTGGTATGGCAATGCAAAAAAACAACCCTGAGCAAGACCCACAAATGCGACCTGCTTGCACCATGTTGGGCTGGACTAGGTGACCTCTGAAGGTCCCTTCCAACCCAAACTACTCTATGATTCTATATTCAGGTTAGATGTGAGGGATAAATTTCGTACAGTGAGGGTGGTAAAACACTGGCACAGGTTGCCCAGAGAGGTGGTGGATGCATCCATCCCCAGAGACATCCAAGGCCAGGCTGGATGTGGTTCTGGGCACCCTGATCCAGTTGAAGATGCCCCTGCTCATTGCACGGGGGTTGGACTAGATGACCTTTGAAGCTGCCTTCCAACCCAACTATGTTATGATTCTATGTGATACGTATGTCCATTGAGAGCACACAGGTACTGGAAAGGTTTGGTTTTGGTAATAGACATCGCTCAGGATAATGTTTCTCAGCATCACAGCACAAGCTCTTAGACCTGCCAGCCTGCTGGGGTGCCTGGCTATGAGATCAGTGTCTGGTTATCTCTGCTGTGCTGGACATGAGACATGTTTGTAAGCTGGCAGTGAGCACTGAGCTATCTACTGCACATTGGGTTGTACCCGCTCCACCTGCTGCAAGGTGTTGGGGAAACAAGCAGGAGTCAAGTACTAACTTACCTAGGGAATCAGACACTGAAAGCAAGACTGGTTTAACATGTTGTGTTCCTTTTAGTACTCATTCATGCACTTTCTCCACAGTTAGACTGCAGGACAAAGGCCAATCCTTTCACTCAGAATAACTGAGGAGGAGTTGGTGTCATCTTCACATGTCCTGTGTGCCACTGAGCAAAGGATGCAGGAGAGCTGGGTTTAAATCAGGGCAAAGATTTAATTGTCAGCTGAACCCTCCCTGTTGGGCTGTAGGCTATGATGAGATGGGTTCATCTTAGACATTTGTTTTGAAGCCATCTCAGTCTGAATGAGTATTTGTTGTGCCTAGGAATCAAAATGACCCTACAGCCTTGTGGTGGTGCTGCTCTCCTGGAAGACTCAAGTCCCAGACCTCATTCCAGTTGCATATTTAAGTATTTTATAAAAGCACAACAGCTTGTAAGAGCAAATCTACTGGAGGACAGGGGAGAAACAGCCCTGTCAAAGAGTTGCAGCCTCCTCCCTCTAGCTCTGCCTGAGCCAAATCCTGACTCTGGGACACAGGATTTAAGTCCTCTGGCAGTGTTACAACTTCCCTTCCCTCACCGAGACCAGGTCTGTGCTCATCCCTGGCCACGTCAAGAACAACCAAGGCAAAGTGTCCTCAACATAAAAAGGACATGGAGCTGTTGGAGCAAGTCCAGAGGAGGGCCACGAGGATGATAAGAGGACTGGAGCACCTCCCGTATGAAGACAGGCTGAGAAAGTTGGGGCTGGTCAGCCTGGAGAAGAGAAGGCTGTGTGGAGACCTCAGAGCAGCCATCCAGTATCTGAAGGGGGCCTACAAGGGTGCTGGGGAGGGACTTTTCATTAGGGACTCCAGTGAAGGACAAGGGGTAATGGCTTTAAACTTAAACAGGGGAACTTTAGGTTAGATATAAGGAAGAAGTTCTTCACAGTGAGGGTGGTGAGGCACTGGAATGGGTTGCCCAAGGAAGTTGTGAATGCTCCAACCCTGGAGGGGTTCAAGGCCAGGTTGGACAGAGCCTTGGGTGACATAGTTTAGTGTGTGGTGTCACTGCTCATGGCAGCGGGGTTGGAACTAGATGATCTTAAGGTCCTTCCCAACCCTAACTATTCTATGATTCTAAGATTCTATGAAAAGTTTATGTTGCAAGACCCTGTAAATTCAGTGATTTGAGCACTCTGCTAGTAGATGGGAAATAGAAGTTCAAAGCTCCTGTCAAACACCTTTTTCACCCCCCAGGTTTGTGCTGTAACATCTCAACAACGGTCAACTGGACAGGCCCTGGTGGGACTGAGGTCTCCTGAGGACCCTCCACCAGCAATGCAATACACGATTTTGGCTCAGATGCTAACCCTGCTTGTAAATGTCAGGATATGAAGGGCTGCCTGCTTGCCCAGCAGCAAAATGTTAATTACCCTGGGGGATATGCGCAAGTTAAAATATGATTGCACAGGAAAGCATGCTGTCAAGGTGTGTTTAACCCAGAGCAGCACAGCACCAAGAGACTCTGGCAGCTCAGATATAGATGCAGTTTGGTCCTGGTCTTGTAGCCCAACCCTGAGTTCAGCCTGATTCTTGGTAGGTTTTCATAACACAAATATAACCCTAGGATAATGCACCTGGGTAACAACTAGATCTGAACAGCCAGTGGCTTCCCTTCCTCACTCACCTTGGGTTTTCCACCATTGTTTTCCACAAGTCAGGTCTTATTTGGACATGCCCTTGAATGTCTTCACAGCCAAGGAGCATTTGGACAGGGGTTTGGAATTCAGAATTTTGGAGTTTGATGTAGTGTCCTGAGTTCAGCTACATCAGTCATTTTTTCTCCTTCTTAGTAGCTGGTGCAGTGCTGTGGTTTTGACTTTCAGCCTGGGAACAACGCTGATAACACCGATGTTTTTAGTTGTTGCTCAGTAATGTTTACTCCCACCAAGGACTTTCTCAGTTTCATGCTCTGCCAGGGAGGAGGGGAAGCCGGGAGGAAGCAGAGACAGGACACCTGACCCAAACTGGCCAAAGGGGTATTCCATACCACAGCACGTCATGCCCAGTACAGAAACTGGGGGGAGTTACCCAGAAGGCCCAGATCGCTGCTCGGGTCGGGCTGGGTATTGGTCGGCGGGTGGTGAGCGGTTGTGTCCTCTCCCCTTGTTATTCCCCTTATCATTATTATTGGTAGCAGTAGTGGTTTGCATTATACCTTAGTTACTGGACTGCTCTTATCTCAACCCGTGGGAGTTACATTCCTCCGATTCTCCTCCCCATCCCTCTGGGAGCGGGGGGAGGAAGGAGAGGGGGAGTGAGCGAGCAGCTGCGTGGTTCCAGGCTGCCGGCTGGGCTTGAACCACGACATGTAGGCAGCTCCGTTCCTTTGGATCTAGCCCAAAATAAATAGGAGAGAAAAACTATTCAGCTATATTACTTGGAAAAAAAACAATAATTAATACCTGAAACAACATAATGTGTGCTTTACACTAAAATAACACTAATAATACAAAAGGATTACTCAGCAGTCCTTAACATGAGTTCTACTCAGAGATGGCCTAAGCCTACAAATTTTTGCTTACATGAAGGCTTCCACAGAAGTCAGTGACACCTTGTACAGCAAGGAGTCAAAGGATTAAGCCAACAGATAAGATACAATCCCTGCCTTTAAGATTCTGAAATCTAAATAAGACAAGACAAACTCAAGGGGGTGGAAATGTTTTAAAATACAATTTTTTTTCAGTAAATTCCATTATGTGGTAAATGTGTTTGCAGAACTGAATTATGATCCCAAAGGTGCAAGATGAATGATTTGTATTTTTACTTGGTTTCAGTTACTGGTCAATGCAAACTTAATATGAAATCCCCTTTCTCCTGGAGGCTGTGAATTCAGAACTCTGATTTCCCAACACAGCTGGTCTGCAAAAGACAATAAAATAAACTGCTAAGCCACTGAAACACTTTGTAGTAAAAACAAATCCCTTGAAAATCAGAGACTGTCACAATAAAGAGAAAATAGGATTTAGTCTTCAAACTAGGTTTTAACAAGCCAGTCATTAAAGGTTGCTAATGAACCATTTCACGAAAATTAAGAAAAATCAGTGCTATAGCTTGCTGGCTAACAATACCAGGGGGCTTCAAATGTCACTGGTATGGAGAAAGTCTGATGGGGACAAGGCATCTTGTATTCTTTAGCAATTTTGAGGAAGTTTACAAGTCACCACTACCCCATGCCATAAAGAACTGCAAATTCTGATGCTGCTTTGGGCCTGGAACTAATCCCACCCCAGACAGCTTAAACGAAGAGCTGAAAACAAAGGAGTGATGGATGATGTAAGAGCTAGCATGAGTTTAGGGTAAGTGCGTCTGCTTCAGAGATGTGCGGTGTCCAAACTGTCCCAGCAAAGCCAGCATGGTGGCAGAATGAGTAGGGCATCTTTTCCCACAGCTGACCAACCACCACAGCACGGTTCAGGGTCATCTGCAGGGGAACATATTGTGTGAAGAAGTATAAGATTCTGGCTTGACAAGCTTTCTCAGGCAGTCTAAATGGCTGTGGCCAATCAGGTAGATCTCCCATCCTCCCAGTGCCATCCATGTGAAAGACACCTACCCTGTGCCTCCAAACACCATTCAGGGCCAATGTGGATCAAGGCAATGAGCCTGTCTTCCTCTCCTTGCACCACCATCCCAGTCAGCTTCTGACTAACTCTGTGCTCACACAAATGTTCCTGCAAGCACAGCAGTGGGACAGCCTTGGGAACTGGGAACACACAGCAAGAGCATCTGCAAGAACTGCCTGGTTATACTGAGCACTCACAGCACCTCTGGTTTTGTTTCTTTGTCCTGTACGCTGAGTGTGGAGAACACAATGGACAGGCTCCCCTGGCTGTGCCAGGCTTTCCTTCTCAGCCAGCCTCTGGGGAAGATCCTGCACTCTCCTGGTGGGCACGTTTGAAATAGGTCTCTCAGATCATGCCTAAGCATTTTACAACTTTTTTTCTGTGCTTTGTTATAGGAATATGAGTAGGAGCAGTATATGGTAGAAATAACTTTAGGGACCTATTTGAAAATTTCTGTTGCCGGTGGTCCCAACTCAGGACAAATAGGAGAAGGGAATAACTACGGCTTTCCACTGGACCAGATTAACCCATATTCCCTCTGCTACAGGGTGTGATTTCTCTGCTGTGACCCTCCTTACTTACAGCTTTACCTGCTGTTATTGCAGTACAAGCCAATTTTCCCTTCCTTTATTAACAGCATTAGCTAAAGCTTCCATTACCACTACTTTCTTCTTCTTCCTGTAGGTGGAGCTGGTCCAGATTGTCATTGATGGGGTCAATTTTCTAGTTGACTGCGAGAAGAGACTGGAAAGAGGTCAAGACATCAAAGTGCCACCACCACTGCCCCAGTTTGGCAGGAAGTGATCATGGTGGCAACTGATGGTAAACACAGCTGCCATTCTGAGCTGTATATCTCTGTAAAAATAACTTGTGTAATAAAACACTACCTGATACCTGATGTCTTGTTAAATGCCTGGCTGCCCTGGAAGAACCTAGGCGTTCTGCAGCTTTACTAGGATGCACCCAACACAACTGCCTCTTTTGTGGGGACTGCTTTCCTTTCTTTCCTGGTTGGTGGTAGGAAAAGTACTATCTCAGTAACGCAAAAAGCAAAAATATCTAGTTCTATCCTGCACTTGCACCTATGGTCATACATACAAAGTCTCCTACAAGCACCCTATGTCATTCACAGACACACCCCTCCCCAGTGATTGCCCAGGCAGCAAATCACCCAGCCTGAGGGGCAGATGCTGTGAGGTGCTCACTGCTTCTTCAGCAACCACTGGACACCATGGTGAGTTCAGCAGTGAGTTAACTGCTACTGGAGTAGGCAGCTACACGTGCCTTTAGTCTCTGAGGCTCACGACTTGACCCGCCATCAGGAACTCAGTGGTGTCTCTGCATGGGAGCTGTCTTTCTCTGTCCAGGACTGGTTTGGACACAGATGATTTTTGCTCCCAGAGAACTCACCAGGTCACTTCTCAGCTGTCTCCCTCTCGCATAATTTCTGGCCTGCAGCCCTGGGCTGTAGAAAGCTGGCCCAAAAATCGGGTGAATATGTTTGCTGATAGTTTGCATGCAACATAAATGTGTCTTGCATGGCCTGTCCCAATCCTCTTCTGCCGCCTTTAGGTTCCAGGTAATGGGGACTAGGCTTAGCTAACCATCGCACATCAAGGTGCCTTAGGAGGTAACTGCCGTTCTGAGTAAGATCTCTGTACTCTCAACTATGTTGTTGGTGTAAAGCAAAAATAGCAGATGCTAACAGTCTCATCAATTGCTTCCTTTTTGCATATTGAAACATATTCAGTGTTTCACAGTAACTTCATTCAAAACATCAGCTCTTGGGGCAGGGGGAGGGGAAGTCAAAACATGCTTTGATGAATGTGCTGTGTTGCTGTTGAGTGGGGAGCATCACAGAATGCTTTGGGTTGGAAAGGACCTTAAAGCTCATCCAGCTCCAACCCCCGGCCACAGGCAGGGACACCACAGGTTGCTCCAAGCCTTGTCCAACCTGGCCTTGAGCACTGCTGGGGATGGGGCAGCCACAGCTTCCCTGGGCGACCTGTGCCAGGGCCTCACCACCCTCACAGGGAAGAACTTCTGCCGAAGAGCTCATCTCAATCTCCCCTGTGTCAGGTTAAAGCCATTCCCCCTTGTTCTATCCCTATAAAAGGCCCTTGTCAAAACCCCTCTGAGCTTTCTTGTATCAGCAGAAAATGCAGGTCTGTGTAGACAGGAAAATGACACTGCTGAGGTATCCACTGCTGCTGTAGGTATGGGTATGCCTAGGACGTGCAGCTCCGTAGTGTCCAAACTCGTGCTCCGAAGCCCACTGTAGCACCTTGAGCAACGCTAGTTTATAAAACTCATGCAGTGTAAGCTCTGAGAAAACACTAAGTGTGTGTTAATCCTGGTTTGATTCTTCTGTGGTAGGGACTCCCCTAACAAAGCATCCTTCATCAGAAACCTCTCAGCTGACATTAACTGCAGAATGCCAACCTGGTGCAAAGCCTCTGGAGAAGGTTTCTTAGTGAGTCACATTGAAGAGATGTGACTAGATAGTTAGGCCATCACCAGTTACAGACTTTAAAAGTCATAACTGGAAGCTAACTGAGGGCTAGATGGTGAATTAGCAAATCTTGGAAATCAGCAGCACGGTGTGCTCTTGTTTCTCACTTAGGAGCTGTTGTGTATAAAGTAGGTTGGAGCTTCCATATGATAGTTGATTCTCCCTCATCTCAGCTGGGTACATTCCCTAACATTTTGCTACTAGCTTTCTAAATGGTGGCTAAAAATAGCAATTCTGGGGGAGGAAAAGAGACTTCTGCTGATTTCATATAGAAGGCAAACAACTAAAACTGGAAAGACTTCACCATTACCTCCCTAAAACACTCAGATAAAAACAAAATTCAACTGTGGGCCAACCGTGCTTAGATTATAGCCTCTACTTGCTTTCCTCCTGCTGACATGCAAGCCACTGATTGATAGGCAGTGAGACAAAGTCCAGCTGGCAGCCATGTACTGATAGCATTACTGAGGGGTTGATAATGGAGATGACGGTACTCTTTTAATACCTTTAATAACACCCTGAATGATGAGGTGCCTTGCACAGTCAGCCAGTCCACTGCTGGTGCTAAATGAAAGGCAGCAGCTGGTACACTGGAGAGCAGGGGTGCTCTTCAGAGGGTGTCTGACTGTAGAAAGGGCTGACAGAAATTTCATAAAGTTCAACAGAGGCAAGGTCCTGCACCTGGGATGGAGCAACTCCATAAAACAGCACAAGCTGAGGGACAACTGTGTGGAAAGCAGCTTTGCAAGGACTCAAGGTCCTGGTGGGCAGCAGGTTTAACATAAGTCAGCAGTATGCCCATACTGAGCTGTCTTACACATAAGCACAGCCAGCAGCTTGAGGGACATGGTTGTTTCCCTTGCATTTGGTACTTATGTGACTTCATCTGCAGTGCTATATTCATCTGCAGTACAGAAAAGAGAGTGACAAAACGCAGGAGGTCCTTAAACTGACCAAAAGAGTATCAAGGGAGCTGGAGCATGATGTATGATACGAAGCTGAGGGAGCCAGGTTTGTTCAGTCAGGAGAAAAGAGGGCTAAGAGGGGACCTTACTGAAGTAAGTCCACAACTGCTGTCTGCATTAGAGGATGTAGACAAGCTAAGCTCAAGACTCTTCTTGGAGGTGCACAGTGATAGGAAAAGAGGCAACAGACACAAGTTGGGACACTGGAAATTCCAGTTAGATGTTAGGAAGACCTTTTGAACTAGGAGGATGGTCAAACACAAGAACAGATGGTAACTCAAGGAAGGAGGTAACTCAAGGAAGAATGTCATAAGCAATCTGATCTAAGTTGGTGCTGCTTTGGGTTTGGGGTGGGATTGGTGCGGTATGCTGGACCACCTCCAGACCTCCAGCCACCAACCTGTGATTGAATCGGTTACTGCAAAATGCCTGCAGGTGAGTAAGTAGGCCAGAGAAAAGCCCTAGCCATCCTATGCTCTGACCAAACATGGAATTATAAAGTCTACCCAAAATATGGATACCCTAATACAATTTACTCTCAGCTAAGATTAAACTGTAGCCTTCTCTGTATTGTTGGCTTCCAAGTGTCTCTTTCACAAGCAAAATACTTTTCTCCATATGGATTATGTTGTAAAACCTTGTTGTTTGCCCTCTATGCTTTTCACTTTGGTGATCGTTTCCCCTCTCCATGATCTTCATACTGTCAGCAAGCGTAACTCAGTTGATTAATAAGAATGATGTATTTTGATTCCTCATTCCACATCACTAATATTTTAAATGAAACCTGGACAGTCACGTGTCTATTAACATGGTGCTGGACATATTTACTCAGTCGTACTCCATCATGACAGTCCTCAGACCAGTCTGTTGTCTGCTTGGACCATGTTTATCTCCAAGTCAAGTACATCCTGGCACTTGGAAGTGTGAGAAGAGTTGGGTTCATCTGCTCCTGTAATGTTCAATAACAGCTTAAAGGCAGCAACACTGCAGCTGCACTGTTTCCAGAGGATATGCTCTGGAGAATTTCCCACAGCAGGAAATAAAGAACCTGAAAGGTTATCAAACAATGAAAGACAATCATACAGATTATGATCTAGTAAGAAGATACTAAAGGTTAAAAAGCTGGGTTGGTGCACTAACTTTAGACATATGATGTTAACTTCTCACTTTCTCATATTTATTTTTCCCATGCCACCAATTTTGCACTGCTGAGCTCCTTCTCTGCCAATAAAACTCTTTCCTGATAGATTCAGACACTGATTCTCCGTAAATTTTTGAAATTTATTTGATTAAATACTCCAAGAAGAGCTATATGCTATGCCTCAAGTACTTTTATAATCTTGACGAACACATCAGTGACTAGGGATCAGCAAAAGTAAACTCTTAGGTCATGCTCCATCAAATCCCGCCTGTGCTGCATCAGGCAGTTCATGCAGGGTGAGAACTGGAGAGAATCTGCCATTAGAAAACAAGGTAAAAGCAGCCATTGTACTCTGAGCTCCCAGGAAATGGACAATGACTTTGCAAGAGGTGCCTCTGTACACCAGTGAACACATTTTTCTGTGTTGAAACTGCCATACAAATACTGCTCTAACAATAAACACCGTGCCTAAAAGGCTGGGGTGACGGGAATAAACTCTGTTGATTTGCATTTGCACCTTGGGGGGACAAAAGGCCCTCAGGTAGGTACAGATCCCTTGACCTGTACATTACCAAAACATTAGCCTAAGGACAGACCTACATTTTCAAGGCATGTCCAGGGTGAACAAAGAGACAAAACAGTGGATGAGAGAAGCACAGGCTGAAAGCACAGGAGAAGATTCAGGAGAAACAGAAGTTAGGTGATTGTCAGCCAGTCAGGAGCATAATTATATACACTGGGAGATTCAAGCATGGACATGTAAGCCAAATTGTTTGTGCCAAGCCTGAACTTGGTTTGGAGCTGTGTTAAAGTTAATACACACAGCCACTGACTGCAAGAAAAGCCAGCTTTTGCAACAAGCCCATGGCCTGGCTAAGCGGCACTGTCAAAAAACTGGAAAGTCAAGGGGTGGCTCAAATGTAAAAGTCAAGCCAGGAGCTGTACCAAGTTGAGAGAGGCAGGAAACCAAAGCCCAGGGCATGAAGTAGCATGTATAGGGGGTTGAACAGATCCAAAGAAAGAGAAACACATACATACCTTCACAAAGAGGGCTAAAACTTCCCTGTATTTGTGAACGGGCTCCTACAACATAGGCAGAAGATGAATTTCCATATATTGACAGTTAGGTCTCATGTGACTAAGTAACCTACTGAACAAACATGTACTGCCTGGAGCAATTCAGTTTTCTGGCAAGTTGCAAGGTCTATCTGTCACTACAGGGCTGAATATGAGCTCTTTGTACAGAAAAACAGCAAGACAGTGGAGAATTTACCAT